GGCAGAGGCGTCATTCACCCTTCTTGTCATTTATTCGTTGTTTCTTTTTTTTACATCTCAGAAATTGATTATTATTTCCTGACGCTCACCGGAAGCACACATTTGTCATACATAATATAAAGCATAGAAGTAATGACAACTTTCAGTGGAATGTTTCTCTGACGTCAGAGGTCAGTTTCTGGGGTACATATTCATGAAATGTGTCTTGTCTTTAGAGATATCGGATTTCTGTAATTACAAATGTAATAAGATAGATAAAATACTATTTTATTGATCTCTATAGGGGGAAATTTTGCTGCGGCAATGAAAAATACATACACGCCCACACACTCGTTAACACACACAGACACAAACACATACTAACGCACACACATACGCACTCGCTCTCTCGTTTTCTCTATCTGTCTCATTCACACACATACACATACACACATACACATACACACACACACACACACACACACACACACACACACACACACACACACACAAACACACACACACGTACACATATTTCCTCCCCATGTCTTCCTAGAGACAAAGACAGAGCCCCTCAAATCTTTGGTCCGTCAATCTTGGTGTCTCAAAGTAGCCTTTGCGCAACCGAGATCAATCCTGACCACAAGGACCATAATTATGTCACGCCACTTAACCACAGCTCCAGGCCAGTCCCCTCGTCCCCGCCCATTGCATTCTGCCAGCGGAAGAATGAACCTCTGTTATTCTTTGACATAACATATTATTATTATGACGTCTTGACCCCTCGCCCCTCCCCTCTCTCTCCTTTCGGCTCCCTTCCTTCATCTAGTAAAATAACGTATGGAAAACTACTCTTGCAAATTATTTGTTTGAGCCACTTTTAATCCGATAAAATTATTTGACCCTTCACCTAAACTGGCAGTGATCAAGAAAAATCCAAGGTTTCCCAAAATGTATTAATTTATATCTGTTAAAGTATAGGGCAAATATGGGGAACATTCCTGGTTTAATTTAGTACTGAGTTTAATAATTAAATCCAGTAGTTAAACATGAAATTCTATTTACGAGCGCTTTAGATTACCGTTATAAGTGACAAGAGATGGGATTGATAAATATCAACTTGTCTAAAGGAAAATGCTTTTACTAGAAGCACCAGTCGGCGGAGGGGAAGGGGGGTATATTTTATGTATCAGAAAATAGAATGATTGGGCCACGTTTAAAGATGTCATTTAGCCGTTTCATTGTAAAAATCTAATAGTGTTCAAAATGCTTTAGAATCGTTTCTTTCATAAGATATTACAACCAGTTTTCAGATTGCTGTTCACACTTTTGGAATCTACAATAGTAAGAGCACTTGGAAAAGAAAATGATATAAACCTACATGCTTGGAGACCTCTTGGTGGTAAAGGTCTAGTTGAGGACCTCGGAACTTCTTTACCTGCTACGGACATTCGGATTCTTCCATCCTCTGGAGCCAACATGGGCGGCTGCCATGATTTAATGTCATGCACGAAAGACGACTTTGACTTACTTTAAGAAGGGGTCGGCTAGACCTCTACCTAATTGTTGAATGAAAAAGGTAAATGTTTTCTTCGATTTGTACTTTTTAGAATACTAATTTAACTTTTCATATAGCTAATCTTATATATTTTATAATTCATAACCAATCCAACTATCGCCTTAAGCTGTGATTGAGAACACAGCGGTTCTCATAGCCTGCTGTGCCGGACGTGGGTGATTAAACCGTTTATTCTGGGCCCGAGTATTTACCGACAGTACATAGTCTCCTTCCTGTGGCGCTCCACATTGGTGACTGACCGATCCCACCCCGAGATCCAACCGTATACGCTCCAGTGGACGACGATGGTCTGCACCATATTATTATATGTGAGGCATCATGGGGAAATCAGGCGCTCGTCAAAATAAGAAAAGAAAACTGCATTTTTCTGGCGTTTGACTTTTTTTTTCGACTTTTCTTTCTTTTGGCTCAACACATTTCATGACTTTTGAAAACCACATTTCTGTGTTGATTTTTCTGAAAACCGTTGATTAAAGGCACAGCGAAAATATAAATGTTCAGTTTCCAAGGTCTCTCAAGTTATGGAAGTCACCGATTTTCTGAAATCAGGCGACCCCCACCTCCTTCAATCACAAATATCTCGACTTCCATTCAAGATCGGTAGGTAGTTTTTTTCATAGAAAGCAACACAAATAAAAACGCTTTAAGATGATACCAATAACTCCACAGGCTCAAAAATTGACGAGCGCATGATTCCGCCGCGTCGTGACACATATAAATAGATCTAGCTCAAACACGACTATTGAAGCGCGTTGCAAAAATAAAACCAACACACTCACTGCATTGTTGCTTTGGAATCTAGAGAGCATACCTACAAATAGACATGACTGTCGCAACGGGGTTACTTTATTGGGAAATCCACCGCGGGG